TCGGAATACGAAAATGGATCATTCTACTTCAAATATCAGAAACACGCTGGTTTGGAAGGCAAGGGTTCCAAGCTTGCGAAAGTCTTCTGCTCTCTCTGAAAAAGACGAGTTTGGTGACATTACCTGAGATGAGTCTGGGTTTTTATAGCAAAGGAAACGACGCTTGGTTTTCTCGAAATAGAAACGACATTTGGGCTGAAAAATTTCTCACCATTGATTACGACCACGTGTTGCAAATCAGTGAAAAAGAGTGAATGTCACGATTAAAGAAAACCAAACCTTCATCCTTTTCTGTTGAAAAACTCAAGCGACAACACTTTCTTCCTCAGCATTAATTACGCCCCAATCTGCATTCAATGCTCTAATAAGGGGTGTCGTTTCAGCATGCCATGCATTTAATGTTCTGATAAAGGATATCGTGTCAGCATATCACACATTTAATGCGCCTGGCTGGCACTTATTACGCACATGACCCGTCTGTCAGAGCAGGGGCTATTTCATTGAATGCATCCATATTGAAAATGCAACAGGCAACGCCTGACGAAGTCAGGTCGCTCATCCTTAACAAGCAATGACCATGCGAGGTTGTGTTCATAAAGGGCACTACCCCGACCAATCTTCAGGCAGGTCGTAGTCACCAGAATTCCCAAAAGCATATAGTCGCGGCATGAATTATAGTTTCCAAGGTTTAATCCTCAAACCTTAAAAACTAGGGGACTTCTGTTATGCCTAAAGAATGTAGGGTTGATGTAAGGTCCAGTCAGCGTGCAAAAAGTCAGAGCATGGGTACACCCACAGCCGAGATGCGTGGGGAAAGGAGCAACATGCTTTTGTCAGAATAGTGGGTGCGTGCCAGACCAGCCAGAAGTTGTGGTGCTCCCACGTGTCCAATCCCTGCTCCAAATCTCGTAAATCACTCTAGAAGGTGGGCAATGTGACATAAAGAGGGATTTGCACAGATAATCCCACCAACTCACTGATTCAATAATGATAACCTTAATCCATCCCACTATAAATTGAGAGCTCCTCTCTCATTAGGGGATTAGCTATTCTCTCTCAAGAATATATAGCATTCTCTCTCTTGTACTATCATTTGTAAGTCAGTCCACTAACGCGACCTGACCTCTATCATTAATACAAACATCAGTGGACGTAGGATTTGCTTCTTTAGCATTCGAACCACTTTAAAAGTTGTTCCCATTGCATTTATTCTCATTTTTCTTGCATTCACGTGTGTCTTCTGGGCCAACTCAGCATTGCACACGTGCGTTTAGTTGGTGTAAAAATCACGCATCAACAAGATTCTACAATTCATATTTGTTGCGGGGGCACCTCACACTGCCTAATTTATTTTATATAGTGAAATGTCTATTCTGCCCTTAATGTAGATAAAGAACTCAAAATAATATTATTAACTCAATAATTAATTAGCATAAAATTAAATGAGAAACTAGTCAAATATGAATAGTGCAACAATTTCAACCTTTTATTATGAATAATATAATATGCATCTCAAGTTTATATATCAAATATCAAGACGCTAATAAATTATTTTCTTATTCTTTTTCGTTACTAATCAATTAATATCATATCAATTAAAATCTTCAAATCAACACAAATTTGCGATACATAATGTTTTTTTATTGATATTTACTAAGCAAATTTAGTTGCATCGTCCTTTATGTGTAACATGAAATATCGAAATGACATATAAATTAGTTTAGTATTAATTTGAACTCAAATAATTAAAATACGTTAATGTAATAATATAAATTAAAAGAGTGATGGTATACACATATTCTTATATCTATTTTTTTATTTTTATGATTGGAGGTGTTCGAACCGATTTATACGTACCTCAATTAATCTTTCAGAACCCTAAAATTATTATTTCTAAAATTTTACATCTCAGAATAATTTTCTCACACTATTTTAATTTAAAAAAAAAAAAAGTTCTAAATCTTACTTCAACGTTGATCAATGTTCTCAGGATTTGTGCTGCCAGTCATTAAAAGATATCTTATTTTGAGATCCCCAAAACCAATAATTACTATTAAAAGATAACAGCTAACTAAGATATATTTCAGGACGACCTAGGTGATCAAGGTCAAATTATACAGTGTGATTTTTATTTATTCTCTTATCTTTATAATACGCTAGCTAGGTTTAGTATATATACAAATTGTGAATAATAAATCATACTATATACAGTTTCATATTACTAGTAATGTTACCATACAATACAAATTGACCTCGTTCTTCTAGGTCGTCCTAAAATATCCTCTGGCACATGTTGCCAAGTTAATTATACAGCTGTAAGGTCATATTTAATAGCTCATTTGTGTCTTTTCTCGTCAAATTCTGATATCGATTCTTAAGGGAGCAAACGCCATGTTTCTACCCAAGGTTTAGCAAAATAATAATTTCTCACTCTTAATTTTATAAATTTCAGATTCTCACCCTTAAATTAACACCATTCTATTTCTTTTAACAATTAAAGGCTAAAATGATCATTCAATATATTTTAATATTTTTCGTTTCCTAAAAAACCTCCTTTCTCACCCTTTATCCCCCACCCTGTTGATCCTGCAAATCGTTGGCCACCGCAACTTTTTGCTTTGTCGGATTCCCGCCAATTAAAGGCACCAACACCCCACCTGACACTACCGTCGGCTCCATCCCCCCACCCTCATCAAAACCCCATAACCCCCTAGCCGCACCAGCTCGCTTGTTGCTAGCTGCCGCAGTTGTTCTTGCTCGACTGTGGCGCACTTGGAAGCCTCGCCACCATTAGTTTTCATCTTAAATCAAACACAATTAATACCGGCTCCTAATTGCTCATTGTATGTGGTTGATTGTTGTGTGTAATCAGGTCGCCGGCAACCTCCATGTGATTAGATTTCTGCACTCCTAAGCCATGCCACAACCTGCTCGAAGAAAAGCCACGCCTACAACCAACACCAAATCTGTTTTTTTTGGGAAAAAGAAAATAGATTCTTTATTTTTATATGGGTCCTAGTTTGACACCGAGAAATCCGATTGCTTAATATGAGTTGTGTGTTGCTTGCTTTTTGAGGTAAAAGTGGAGTTGGCTGAGTTTTCGCTTTTTGAGACCAAGGGATTTACCGCAGCGACTGCTCCATGCATGTACATAATAAAAAAAAAAAAAAATTAACTAATTAATAAATTGACGAAAACGAAGCTTGGATGGAATAATAAATGAAATGTTTAGAACCTACGATGGTCTTTGGCTGTATAAGTTCCACCTGGAGGAATGGGTTTGGAGCTTTTTCTCCAGTCTTCTCTCGACTGCTTCATTGGTGACTTGTTGGTGGACTTTGAGGGAGATGAAGAACAAAAAAGGGCACCAAAGGGAGAGAAGTTAGAAATGAAAGATGTCATGGTGATTAGTAAAGAAGTTGAAAGTTGAAGAATGGCTTCATTCACACCACATGTTTTATATATACAAGATAATACAATTACTTCCCTTTTAATTTTTACTTACTTTAAGTCATACTGAAACTTGGATCATTGGATATTTCTATAATTGTAATGTGGAGGAGAAGAGAATTATCAGAAGAAATGGGATGAGTTTTGGGATGGTAGTGGCAGCAGCGACGATGGCCATGGCTTTTAGAGGATTTGGAGCTGGCAAGATGAATGAGATTGGTTAACAAAAAAAAAAAAATAGTAATAATAAAATAAAAAAAATAAAAAAACTAAAAAGATGAAAGAAGAAGAAGAAGATAGGAGGGCAGTTTGGTAATAACACTATCTGTATTTGTATTAGAACCGAACAGTTATTAACAGTGTTATTTTAAGGGTAGGAATATGAAATTTATGAAACTAAGGGTGGGCACACATTTCACTAAATTTTGGGTGGGGACATGTCTTTTACTCTTCTTAAGGTCAACTAATGTTGTTTAGTTACTTTAAGTAGTATTTTTAAAATATTATTGTAAAGTTGAGTTGGGTGGTAATAATGAGGTAAGATTTAAAAATTAACAAAAACACCCTTTTAAGTTTGCTAATTTACTAAACACCCCAATATACAAAAAAATTATAAAAGGACAAAAACGTCCCCACCCACAGTTGCCAGATTCCAACGATAGTGGCCAGAATCTAGAATTACGGGGCACGACCGACCGAATATGGCCAGTCGTGCGCCGATCTAGATCTATGGCTAGATCTGGCTGTCAGCGACGGTCAAAGATATGGTCGTGGTTGACTATCAAATAACGACAAACTCTTGGCCATCGTTGATCGTCAACGACGACCATCTCTAGATATATTATTTTTTGGCTAAATCTATGGTGGATTTGGTTGGAAAAGGCCAGATCGACACATTACCGGCCAGTAGTGCGCCGTTGTGTCAGATTCCAGCCACCTTCCCGCGGTGGTGGTCGGAATCTAGCAAATGTGGGTGATAGTGGTGTTTTTGTTAATTTCTTAACTTTTTTTGGGGTGTGTTTAGTTAAATTAATAAACGTATGGGATTTAAAAATAATTAAATATAATATAATAATATTTTCAAATTAGGGAAACAAATGTGTGTATTTTGGAAATGATATTAATAGAATAGAGGAAGAATATGGAAACAAACAATAACTTCTTAAATTCTGAAACTTTATATTTAAATAAAAGATAAATTTTATATTTTTTAAATAAAATAAATTAGGAGTATTTTCATCCCAAAAATAAAGACAAATTTTATTATATTTGATCATGATTCCTTATTACAAGCGAACAATATGATCCCATTACATTCCTCTTTAATCTTTTCATTCCTTTCATTTCCATTGCCAATACATATTCCTATTCCATTCCAATCGGGAAACCAAACGGGCAATTAATAAAATGCAATTAAATTTCCCATTTGTATGGTTTTAACGTATTCATATATAAAGTGGTAGGGTCCAATGCCCAACAAGTTCGGCCCAAATATTCTAACACTTTGTCTAAGCAGCCTCACAATAAGACAGTGGTTTACAGCAGCAAAATCATAATACTAAATAAATTTCCTTTTCACTTCAATTTTGAATCAATCAATCAATCAAATTCAATCGTTGATGGAGGAGAGTTTCAGAGGTCGAGTAGAAAAGATCTTCGGTTCACTGGCTCCTTCCGCCTCCACTCCTTGGTCTCTCACCGACGACGAGGTGGAGAGGCGGCGGTGGAAACTCCAAGAGAAAGACACCTCAGCCAGGGACGAAACACCCTGTTCCTCATCGTTTTATGATTTCTCCAAGAAAGATGGAAATGAATGGGAAATCAGATCGTCCATTGGCTTGGACAACACTCTCGATAATGAGGTAATAATTATTTTTATTAATTCTTTTCTTTTTATAGTTAATGGTATTTGCTTTTGTAGATATAGGGGAATTTAGGGATAAACTTGAGAAATATGTTTAATTTTATATATTTTTTTATTCCTTTTTAGGCATTGTAGACTCAATTTAGGATTTAAAAATAAATTTATCTATTTAAAGAGGTAATTTATGTAATAAAATAGGAAGTAGGATACAATGAAGTATGAGTGAGGATTGGCACTTGACATTGTTAAGGACAATGTTGATGTTTAATGGTGACAATTTCAGGGGAAAATCTGACAATTTATTGATTAGTTTTTTTGGAACTTGTTTGCGATTCTTTTTTTTTTTTTTTTTGGTTGTAGGACACGCAATAAGAACATTAGAAGGCAAAAAATTTATTTATTTCCATCTATATTATGTGCAAAAGAACAAAAATGAAATTCTAATGCATCGAAAAACTAAATTTTTTATTTCTAGGGCACATGATAAGACAACCCCTGTGTTTTGTTTGATTTTATGGTATGATGGGCTGCGTGTGTTTATTTGGAAAATTTTCAAGTTGTTCAAAATGAATGTGGAGTTGGTGTGTGCTACGGAAGTTTAATGAAGGGGAGAGTGAATATGTGTAGGTGTTCTTTCTTTCTTGTTTCTTCCTATATTTTCTTTTGATAATTTACTTTAGAGCTAATATGTTTTATCGCTGCATGCAGGAAGAGGAAGATGAATTTGACAAAGTAGCTTTGGGTAGAGAAAATGCTGATGAGCGCTTATATATGAATGATGTAACCAATCGAGGCTCTTATTTGAACATGCACAATGTGCTCCCCAACTCAATAAATGGGACTAAAGATCCACGTGCCAATCACCACTCAGCAAGAATTAGGCTGAAAGAAGATGAAGTTGAAGCTCAAAAAATGAATTTTCCTCATCCTGGTTCTGGTACAGCAGTTAAGGAATCACATGCTAGATTATCTGAATATGGTGGTCAACGGAAGTCTATATTGAAAAGGAAGAATAACATTGCAGATTCTAAGCCCCAAAAACGTGTCAGGTTTGACCCTGGTTGTAAAATTGATGGTGAAAAAGCATCAGAAGAATTTGAATATTCTTCTTTCAGCACCTCTTCAATGAATCCTACTGATTCAGATGATGGATCTCAGCTTGCTCATAATGCTTCTAGGATTCCGGATTACTTATTGAATCCTTCTAAGTATACACGCTACAGTTTCGATTCGTTGAGTGAACATGATGAGGAATCCAACACTTGTATGGATTTGCTGAAGCTGGTCAAAAGCTCAAAGGCTAAAGAGCTGGCGCCAGAGCTAGAGAATGCTTCTGGTAATCTTCCAAAGTCAGTGTCTTTTATCCCAAAGAAGAGGTCTGGTGAAGCTAAAGCTGCAGAGATTAGTAATGAGATCAAAGGAAACAAGGAAGATTATGGTGAGCTGTCCCTGCCTCGAGCAGTCTTTCCTGTTGGTATTGCTGCTGGAGAATCCCAACACTCTGAAGCTATTGCATTGGATGGGACTGAGCCAGAAACAAATGCAGCAACAGAGGACAGTGCTTGTCTCAAAAAACCCAGTCGCAATTATCGGGTGCAGTCAAGGTCAGATGATTCTGACTCTTAATGCTTTGCGAAATGTCTGAAAGACTGCTGTATGAGAATTTTGAAATTGAAACTCTTTTTTTTTTTTTTTTGCCCTTTTCTTCACTATGTTTTGTATATATGTCTTCCAAATTTTGTTTAATAGTGTTCCAGCGGAGCAATTGATTTCCCTGTTTGTTAGATTTATGGGTTTATTGGAATGAATATCATATCTATGCTAAAGGATGCTCCACTTGAAAATTCTCTTTTGTAGGTAATTGAGTTTTACATATACATGCAATCCTTCAGTTTTAGTGTTAGTCTTTTTGTTAATGTTGCCTTCTTTTACATCAAGAGCCTTTAAAATATATGTTTGTGAAATCAAAAAATATAAATATTTCAGAATTGGTTTAATATTGAGTTTTTTTATTTTAAATTTAACTATTATCTAGACATTAATTCTAAAATCTGAATACGATATTTTTATTAAATATCAAAATTAAGGATTTCTTTATGCAAATACTATATACTTTATAATTATATATATCAAGTGTTAGATTATCTGCTGCTAGTTTGTCTCCTAACCCTTTCTATTCAAGATTGATATCTTCTTTTTTTCCTTTTACGTTCAAATTGAGGGTCTTAGTTAACCCTTTTATTGACCCACATACAAACCTTGTTAAGAACAACTGCCTTTTCTGATATAAGAAAGAAAAGAACGTTGGTTTACAGTACTGCGTTTTCTCAGAGCTTTTGATTTCTATGAGTTTTAATTTATTATTTTAAGCCCCTGGATTCCAATCAAATGCACCATAGTGTAACTCTGTTTACTTAGTTACGTCTTATAACTCATGTTTACTTAATTAAGTCTTACATAAATTATTGAGATAGTTAGATTCATAATGAAATCGCCGAACAAACCGTACAAATTAAACACATTAAAGATGAAGACATAGAAGAGTGTTTGAGCCAAGATTAACCAATGTAAAATCAACTGGGTGAAATCATAACATATTTTGCTTATGGCATAAGTTTGCGAAGCTTGAAAAATAATTGAAACAGAACTGAGAAAGGATTATGAAAAGATAGTTTTTCTTTCTTGTGAATGTTTGTATTTCTGCAAGATTTGAGTTCGGAAATTTTTATGTGATAAAATGTTAGAAAACAAAAATTTGTTAAACTATTTTAAGTACACAGTTTACATATAATGTTCAGTGAGGAGAAGAAAAGGTTTACGTATAATGCTCAATTACCTCATTTGTCATACCCTAAACTCCTTGTAAGCATCATTTTTTTTTTTTTGTTTAGTTCATACTTCACATAGTCTAACTTTGTTCATTTCTTGTATATTTTTTCTACAAGAAGTTTCCTTAGGCAATTAAAGTTCTTTTATCTTTCATCAAGTTTTCTGTGACAGAAGAAGCTATGAACATTGTGATTTTGGGAACTCCTAGCTCCATTGACATTTCCCCACATGATATTGGAATTGGTTTAATGAACCAAGTACAAAAGCTTAAGACAGATTATTAGGATGAACAAAGTTTAAATAAAAAATATGAAATATGTTAGTTGTTTGTCCTATAATGTCCAACGATTCTGCAGTATCTGGGTTTGTAATTTTCTTGATGATTGAGAAAATTTAGAGGAAAGTATCCCAAATGGTGTAAGATTATAATGTGGTGTGGATAATAATATAATGCTTCAAATAATCAAACATTACATTACTTAAAAAATGTACAATTTATGGAAAAAATTGATGGGATCATTAAAAAAAATCCAATAAGCAATAAAAACATACGTTTGGTAGATTTTGAAGATGTACCAAAATAATTTGAGTTGCAAAATTAGCTGCAAAACCAGATAAGGTTGCGCATACTCTTTTTATTATTATTTGTTTTTTTCATTAGATTTTTTGAAGTTAGAAAGTAATGTATTCCCATTTGGGATTAGGGGGATATTAAAAAATCAATCAAAATTTAGGGGGTTAAAAAATTAACCATATCTCCAAACTCCATGCTATATTAATCAATAGAAACATCTTTGAACATATATATCCCTTTAGGGTGTCTTTGGTTGAGAATAATAGGGGATTAGTAAGGTAATGTCATCTTATATTACTTGATTATCACATATGGTTGTCAAGTAATATAAGATTCTGGTAATCTACCAAAACTAATAGTAGTTTCTGTTGATAATATAGGAGGTAATTTGATTACCTCAATTTTCTTACGTATTTTAAGATTACTTGAAAATCTAATTTTTGTTATAATTTTATCTCTTATTAATAAAATTTTAAGATAAAAATGTCCTTATTTTTAAATTAATTTACATGAACCTGCCATTACAATTTTACTCTTAATTAATTAAGTTTTTGGACATTAATGCCCTTGATTTAAAACAAATTTTAGCCTACCAAAACTACCACTGTCGGCCAGCCACCACTATCGTTGTCAACCGGTTGGCATCCTGTGCCGATATGGCCATTTTTTGGTAAGATCTCTAGCTAGAGACCAAAAATAGCCAGATCATGAAAAATTTGGCCAGAAATGGCAAAATCTATTCTAGTCGTTTCCGGCCAGGTTTTTCGATGGCCATTAATAGCCATGGATCTAGGCATTTCCAGCCAAATTGTTAAATCTGGCAAGAAACGGCCAAATTAGTTTTGACCATTTTCGGCCAGATTTATCGATCTAGCCAAAAACGACCAGATCAAAAAATCTGACTAAAAACAGCTAGAATAGATCTGACAATTTTCGGCCAAAGATTTGGCCAGATCGACACATGATCGACAAGATCAGATCTACCTACGTCATTTGGTTGCCGGAGGCTGATGGTGGTGGTCGGTGATCGGTAGTGGTTGGCTGGGTGGGGGTGTCTTTGTTGATTTTTAAACTTTTATTATGGGAATGTTTTAGCAAAAAAAAATTAAATGTAGGGGGGTTAAAATAGTGATCTAAATAATAATATTATTTAAAAAGAGGGCAATTCAGTAATTTAAATAACATACCCACCAATTTATTCCTCTCAACCAAACATATAAACATAACATATCTACCACCAAACACATTAATATAACATTCCAATAATCTTTTCCTTAATATAACATTCCCAATAATACAATATTCTCTGTACCAAACGTACCCTTAGTATTTATCTTCTTCTTCGTTACCATTGGATTAACTTTTTAAAATTATGATTCCAATACAAATGTACTTATATAAGAACATCTCCAATAGTGCTCTTTATTTTAAAGAGCATATTTCACATAAATAAATAGGATCTTCATTAATTTCTAAATATAAAGAACAAAATTTGTATTCAAATTCAATAGACTCTTTAAATTAGACTTAATAAATAGGAGAGATACTTAATATGAGAGAAAGAATTAATAATAAAATACATAGAAACTTGTAATTTAATAAATAAAATTGGGATAGATAGTGAAATTTGACTCTTTAGATATAGAGAGTCAAACTCACTTTTTAATTTATATTTAAAGAATAAAGAGTCTATTAGACTCTTATTTTTATGGACAAACTCTTTATAATAAAGAGTTTGAGTCATATAAAAAGTCATTTAGAGATGTTTTAAGGAGGGGTAAACATGAGAATCGTATTCACTCTTTATTCCATTAATGCAACTTAATAACTTTTCATTTTCCTTCAAACTTTGATTTATTGCTCAAAATTCTAAAAATCTATTTGAGAAATTAAAATAGACCCAAACACACTACATGTCTTATTAAATAAGAGACATGTTAAGTGTAATTATAAAGCATACAATATTATTGATATTAAATACAAAAAAAATATCATCATGGATTCTATAAATTTATTATCCATTCAAATATTTGTCATTCGTAATTGAATTCTAAATCCAAAATTCATCGTCATTCAATTTTAAAATTAAGAGGCATGTATGAAATCTCTGTCAAATATAAAGACTTAATGACATTAATTCGCTTAGATATGATAAAATAACAAAAATTCCTCAATCATTTCATTTTTTAGGTGTTGAAATAATTAGTAAGAGGGTGATTTGGTTATATATACTAAGTCAGTATAGTGTGAATTTTAACGGCTTAACCTTAAAAATTCCCCATTGGAGTCTACTGAGTAGGGTAGAATATCTTTAATAGCGATGATTTTACTGTCTAATGAATAGAATAAAGTTCATTTATCTTATTAGAAAAATAAGATAAATTCCCTCTGATATGAAAAATGGGTCAACCTTGTAAACTAAGCTTCTAATAAGTTAAAAATTATGTAAAATAAAATTGATTAAAATCAATTTGACAATTACTTGTCAAATATTCAGAAAAACACTTTCATACAAATATTGATATTTAATTAAATAATGTTTATTCTAATTAGATGTTATTGATAATCTATCTTAAATTATATAATGGGATGAGATGTGATCTTTTAACTTAAATTTTTTACACAAATTTTTTCAGCCATAGATCCAAAATAATCCAATCGTATAGGAATTGCTGGGTGAACTATCTTCAAACTCTTTCTCATATCTATTGGCTTACAAAATATCCACAACTGAAAATTTATGTCTCAATTTAAGTTAAAAAAATATTTTTCACCATATAAAATACTCAATTGTAGTCTAATGAATAGGGTAGCATAATTTTTAACAGAATAAGTTTTATTCAACTTTCCGAATTTAACCTAACAAGGACATGTAAATCTGTTTAACTTATGTCTAGAATCTTGAAAAGAATTATATATGTCCATCAACACGCGTAAGTATACACATTTTATAATAGATGTACAAAATATTTTCTTCATGATATCTTTTATAAAAGAAAAAAAAAAATCTATTAAAATTGTGAAGTTTGTGAAAGTCCTTCGACAAATTAAAAGGTGTATTAGAGAATTAACATTTTGACAAACTGAAATTATTAAACTTGTCAATATTTACCCAAAATAACTCAACATCCAAAGGATTTCTTTCATATAAATAAACTAGCATCATACCTATTGCTAGATTATAACATTGTCTATTTCAATTTATTTTAACTTCCGCGTATTC